ATCACGTCCTTTGAGACCTTTCTAGCAAAGTAGCTTTGATGGGCAATCTCAGCAGCGCTATAATAACGCGATTTGGCCACACTAATCATCGAGGGTTATACAGACGTTAACCATTAAGGGTAATATGAAGTGTGGAGGACTCATGCTTCTAGCCTTGTGACTGAGCTACTGTCAATTTGCCAACTTTTGGGATGAAAAGCATGGCTGGCCAAGCTGAATTCTATCCGTGATTTCACTTCCGGGTCATGCACATAGTAATCAAAGTCGATTACCGCTACACTTTCATGTCTCACTAGCGAAGAAATTAATCATTAGAGTAACAAATTTACCCAGTGTGAGATGTTGAAGTCGCGGGCATTTATTAGCCATCTCGTAGAGGACATTTGGTGTGATCAGATCGGTAGTGAGTTCGACGATTCGTAGCTCAGAAAATTGAGTGCCGATCAATTGCAAGAAATAGTCGTGGTTCGATACCTGAAAATATCTATAAGTTCTCTGGAACAGGTCTCGGAGGAAGAGAGTAATCACCTGAATGCCACCGTAGTTCGGCCTGAATGACACAAATTTCCATAGAAGTGGACTGCATGCGACGTTTCGCCATCGTTTACAGACTTGGCCTGATTGTAGAATCTGAAACTGCGGGTTTCGCCAAAGTCTAGCTCCAACTCCAACAATCAAACTCACTTGGTACGGGGTTAGATAGGAAAATATTTGTTGTAGAACTTTGTCTGGGAGCTTATCGATTGTCTGAAATTGTGGATGATCATCAACGGAGCTGAGAAGTTCAATGAAATGAAAGTTGTATGGAAGTAAATCAGTAGCTTCGCAAGTGCTCTTACAGAATAGCCTCCTCTGATGGACTCATGAGCGGCTGCCTCCAATTGCTCGAGCCTATTTTTCACGTCGCCGTCGAGATCGGCTTTAGTAACCCTACGGGCCATTTCGAACATTTCCGTCATTTTGACAATGAGAATCGCTCAGAGCAGAATACGGGACGAGCGGTAGTTTGAGTAGAGAAAATTTATCTTGGAGAGTAATTGAGTAGAGCTGTTAATAGGCCAGTGTGGTGTTTTGTAGGGGCAAGGGTGAAAATCAATGCATGCGTGCGTGAAGAAGCTTTGGCTTGCTGCTATTACACTATGGCCAAACGTCGTCCATTGTGCTCAGCTACTACGGCTGATTCCGCACTTCTGACCTAGATTTCAGCCCAGTTCGGGTTATGTGGCCCTAATATACGAGTCCAGACAGATTTCAATAGATCACGAATCGGAAAGTTATGCGGTAAAGAACGCCGATAAATCGGTGTTTTTGGGTATCGTAAAGTGAAGATGAAGAGACTCGATGCCGAGGGGACTCATTTTCGCACGCATCAGCTGAGCACGTTTGGCGAACAGCTGGATGTGGCGAGAAAATCACGAATGTCTCACGTTCGTAGGGGACAGAAGCTCCTACTACCCTTAACGCACACATCGAAAAATCTTTTCCATAGGGTTAATTATTTTCGGGCGCAGACGTGGTGTCGAGGCAAGCGAAGCCGCTCACCACGGCCAGAGATCAGATCCCAGATCGAAGCCGAGGACGGACCTTACGATGAAAAGGCAGCTCATTGGAAGTAAGGATGAATGTAGACAGTGATGCAGGGACGAAGAAAAAACCATGAAAACGGTACAGAACCCGCAAAATGGGACCCTCCCTTGCCCGTTGATTTCCGCATTGATGCGACTCTCAGTGGTGCTACCCTCTTCACGCTAGCGCTCTCTCTGCTAAACGGCTAGAGGGGCGACAACGAGAAGGAGGTGCTTCGCGCCGAAAGCGCCGCGGGAAGAGCCATGCTAGATCGCCTGGGCATATCCTTCGCTGGCGAATTGCATGCGATTACTGTCGAGTGATATCTCCTTCTCAGAGACTCCTTCGATTTTTCCGCATGTGTATCCTCCTTCAATGACACCATACATTCTCGGAAAAAAAACGCCTATGTAAATCGCCCGTCCGACTCAGGTTATTGTTGTTGTGGTATACATAACACACGCATATCAAATGGTCACTGTTCTGAGAAATAGAATACGTGGCGCATCCCAGAGAGATTAGCCAATGCCATATGCTTGAATCTTTCAATCGTAGTGCTAATGCTTCCAATCTTAATGCTAAGCACGGGAAACTCTTTTTTTGATTTAACCTTTTTCAGCTCTTGTCCCCCTTAACAGTCTGTCCGATTCAATGACAGCGTCTGCTTTTCCAGATACGACACCACTTTTCCCGAATGACTTTCCGACTGATATGGACGCGCACCAGTTTTAAGTACACAGTAGCTTGCTAGTCAGCGCCGTTTAGAACACCCTTCACGTACCTTTCGGGACATACTGAAGTCGTGGCTGATTTAAAGAGCAATCAGGAGAAGGGAGAAGTGGTAAATTGGGGAAATCGGTGGAATTTTGGCAACAGAGATGCTTCCGCGCGCAAGCGATAAGCATGTTTAGCATCACTTGTACCCGGGTCAACGAATTTCTCCCTACCACGGGGTAGGTAATTTCCTGCTAGTATTGTCGGGAAGTAAAGAAGTGGTGACTCGTAACCATTTCGCGACCAAGTACCATCATAACGTTCTCTGTGGAGCTTGAGTGCCAAGCAACGTGAGATGGACAGTATACGATTTCATAAAAAATTATAAGTTCATACATTTATATTAAAGATAAAAGACAACAAAAAGCATTGCAATCAAAAGCACGTTGATTGTCCTCTTGGGAATGCGGCACGCATTCTACTTCCATTTGTACATTCGTAGTGGCGTTTGAATGCGATGTGGCCTATACAATGACTTGCGGGGCCAGCCGATGTACAAGTCAGTGTTTTATCCTCCCAGACAAGTCTGGTACCAATTAACCGACCTGCTCAGCCAAGATAATAGTATAGAATTTCATTCAATTACAAATATTATGAAAAAACTCAAAGTTCGGGAGTGGTGTAGTTTCAAGTGGCACGGTGATCAAATCCTGGGTCGTGAGTTGCCTGGGCCAACCAAGCCTTCCATCCCTCCGGGGTCGGTTAATTGGTACCAGACTTGTCTGGGAGGATAAAAACACTGACTTGAACATCGGCTGGCCCCCGCAAGTCATTGTATAGGCCACATCGCATTCAAATGCCACTACGAATGTACAAATGGAAGTAGAATGCGTGCCGCATCCCAAAAAGGGATTGATCAACGGCAAATGCTTTATCCTTTATCCTTTTCATGAAAAACTTACGATTAGTTGGAGCGAAACGGTGTTCAGTAACTTGTAGCGCAATTGCCCAGTAAGCAAGACGTGCGGGTTCCAGTCCCGCCTGGGGCCAAAGATTGGCTCATAACTCAGTATTCTTTTCAAATATTAATTTTTGTTGTAAAGTATTATAATTCAGCATTAATACATAATAAGAAGTGTGAATAATGGAAAAAGTTTCCCTTATTGCGGTTCAGCGAAAGGCCTTTTCTTTTGTAGCCAAGTTGAGAATTCTACATACTATTCTTTGGAACTGTTACTGGAATTCGACCAATGCATGCAAGAGTGTGAAAGATACTAACACCCTTCAAATAACGAATCCCTGCATCCGTTGTGTTTAGGAATTTCGCCAAAATTTGTCTGAACGGATGAGAGCATTGAACTGAGCACCGACTGACCCTACAAATCTTACATGGGTGAATTAAAAAGCAAAATGCTGCGTTCATCTGGCGTGAGCTTTCCGACCGAGAGCGGTCGACATCTGGGTAGCTGTTTTTATCTCCTAGACGAGCCTGGTACCATAAAACTTATTGTTAGGCGCAAAGCCTAACCAAAAGCCACCTGGATAGAAAACAAAGATGGCCAGCATCGCTTTGGTGATATGTACCAATTGCTCTCGATCTTCTCTGTTCACAGAACTACGTATCCCTTACAGACCTCATTCGATGAAAGGGCGCAGCGGCCTTGTGTTATTGGTCGAAGGGCGTTGAGAGGTGGTCCCAGTACGTCCCTCCCCGAGGAGTTTGGTGTTCACTATCTTCAAAGTAGTTCATAGGCCAGATACGGCTCTAAAGTTTTGATTGTAACGTTTCGCTCTATTCTATGAATTCTGTGGGTTTGGGATCTCCGACACCAACAGACGCCTTCCCTACATTCAATAAGCGCTTCGTTGAAAGTTTTTCGTAAGCAACAGGACCAGAAATGCTGTTTCGTTCTGTGGGAAATTTGATTGCGACCTTGCCTTTTTATAGCCTTATTTTGTTTCTTTAAGCAATTCATTCTTGCTGGGACAGCGATCGCTAGTCAGAGAATTTGTTCTGGTGTCATTGATTAGCAGTGAATCCTTCGCAGTTTCTTCCACAAGGTTTGATAGATAGATGTTCTGAGCAGATTTGCTAGCTGGCTTCGCAACTGTGTATCCTGCTCCATCGATTTATGACCCCCCCCCGTCCCAACTTGATTTTCTCGACACATCCTTCCTTTATTCCTCTACAAAAGGTGTCATTAGATTCATAAATGGTGTGGTCTGAGTCACAATTTTCCGGTAGCTGCTATCGCGCCCGTGCACAGAAGGTGAAGGTTATGGTGTTAGCCACACACACAACTTCTCCCAATGCACAAACGCAGTAGCAGCTGTCGGAAAACAACTAGAGGTGCTCGATTACATTTGCAATATTTCAAGGCCAATGGGTGACTTAGTGGACCTGAAGTAGAACTGAGGCTGAACTAATTATCATAGAAATTACAAAGAACTTTCATCAACAGTATCAGTTAGCCCCATAGAGATGTCTCATTTGAAGGTACCCATACAATGGACCGAAAAATTGAAGGAGGAGGCGTTCATCGTAGCCCCATCATCTAGCCTTTTTTCACTAATAGGGTTCATCCCTAATCTAAAAACACACTTGGTGAACAATTCAAAACGATGAACGATCAAAGAAGTTTCTTAGCAGCTTCTCTTTTTTTCGACGATTCTCTGCTTCTTTCTTGATCACTTCCTTTTCCAGGTACCGCTGTTCCGCAACTGGTTCTAATAGGCAGTGTGCGTCGTCAAACTGGTGACAGTGTAGATAACGAGGATGAGGGCATGAGGAGCAGAAAAAATGAAAATGAGCGCTTTCACCGGGGTGAGATGGATTCCTCAGCGTTTGTGGACTGGACCCTACATGACTCAATATTTTGACTTGTTTTGTGTCCAACCAGGGAGAACCTATAGATGGGAACAAATGTTCTGGTGGTCTGGTCGATTCTTAAAAGAAAATAATGCATATTTTCCCAAAGCGTATAGCCGCTGCACTCTCAACGCACGCATATTACAACCCCTGCCGAGAAAAATCACCACCTACATAAAGCACAACGGCACTAGGTAACAGCAGCAATTAGGTACAGGTAAACAGCACTAGGTATCGACTCTCTTTCATACCGGAGGAAGATGTTTGATCTAATCACCGTTTTTAAGATGCTCACAGGGAAAATAGATATCAAATTTCAAGACTTCTTTACAATTCGAGACACCAATACAAGAGGGGAGAAGAACAAGCTTTTTGTTGCACGACCTAGGACGAATATTAGGGCCAAGTTCTTCGCGTCAAGAGCAGCTACCGAGTTCAAAAAATTGTCTAAAAAATTCACCTCTGCCTAGGCTAAATTCAGAATTATCTTGCGGCGTTACCTGAAATGATGGCATGTCGAGGGCCTTATGGCGTGGAGAATCCACCATCCCTTGTTTTTCTGGTTAGCCCGGGGGTATATACGAACAGATCATCAATTTTTGTTTGTCGTTTCTTTTATTGCCTTGGAGGCTCTTTTCAGTATTAGGTACCTGTTTTTGATTTTTTTCTGCTGGATAGAGTATTGTATTCTCTCATGTGCCTAAAGCACATGCAATAAATAATAAATAATAACCTA